GTCCCTCTTTCTCTCCTTCTCCATCTTCCTCTTTCTCTTCGTCATCAAACATAAACGCGAAACGTGCACAGTTCTGGCAAAAGAAACAACACTAATTAATCGCGGCATGCATCTCGCCTACGGCTCGTTAACGTTCTCACTCTCGATCCCTTTTTCCCCGGGAAGGATTTCTTGCGAAGACGCGCGCTCTCGTCTTCGGGGGAGGAAATTCGTATAGCAAGTTGATTACACAGTTAACTCCGCGCGCCTCGATGTCTTCTTTCTCCTGCCGACTTTACGCGATTATCCCCGCTCGTTTGCTCTGATCGAGACTCGTTAAGGAAAAACCGAGGCACTTAGATCGCAGCCCGGGACGAGACTGAGCCGCGCCTCGGGCTGCCCGATAATATGCAACGACGCGACGCAGCATCCGAGCGTTAGAGCGGTCCAGAGACTCGCAGGATGAAATCGGGGCGATTATTCAACGAACGTAGAAATGTAAAATTATACCTTTCGATACGACTGGCAAAAAATGTTTGCACTAGTTAAAAAAAAAAAGAACGCGAAACTAGAACGGTCATACATTTCTTTTCAATATTGAACTCATTTTATGAAATAATATTTCAACGAATATTTCTTGAGCGTATTATGTATAACATATATCAATTTTTTATGTTAATGTCGTCATAATGAAACGAACAATGGAGATATTTTTAACAATAATATTCGCTTTGGATAAGAAAGATGGAGTGATAAGTGGAATGAAATAAATTTATTTCTTTAACATATAAAATTAATTCAATTTAAAAACGCATACCTAAAAAAACAATTAATTCTTGGAAATCGAGATTTAATCACGTTATTCGAAACTTTATTTGCTGGAATTTATTCACTACAAAACGCGAATTGTTTCAGTAATTGGGAAAGATAAACAGATTGCGTATTAAAGATAAATATGCATACGCGATAAAATTTCCAGCATGAATTCGATCAAATCGTTGTTGAGGCAAGTAAAAAAATACATTGCGCACATTCGCAAAAAGATAATAAAAGGAATCGTGATAAAATTATGATAATGAAATGAGTGTGATATTATGCAAATTTCCAGTGATAAGATTAAGTAATCGTATAATCGACTCTCATACATTAATAATTATCTTAAAATAAAATAACTCCATTTTTTCTCATAAAGACAGATGTAAACGTATGTATTATAATATCACATTTATTTTATTATCGTTATTTTATCTGTTATTCCGTTATTCAATTAAAGAAAAAGTAATTAATAATCTGATATATTTCACATATTTTTGTGCGATACCAACTCGCAATATATCGCAGACAGCAGATTTCCAATGCAATACAATGATAATAATTAAGGTATCGCAGATTTAATAGATCGAGAAATCGACAAGCGTATCGTCGCTCGAAATTTGTGCGCATTCATAAGAAGCGCATCGCGCTCTCTCTCCCCTTATATCGCGTTAACGGAGTATATACGCGATACACGTCGAGTGTATCCATACCAAAACAGGTATATACGGGCTACGTTCAACGCCCGCATTTCGTTGGCATGAATAGCGCCGGATAACCTAGGAGAGAGACATTCTATTCATGAAGGGGAGAAAAAAAACCGATTAGGGAGAAACGCGAGCGCGCCCGCACTTAAAGATCTAGATACTCAAAGTTGAGAGGTTGACAGTTGAAGTATTAACGGCAGTATGTCAGCCTACGGCGCGGCGCGGTATTATCGTGTGAGCGACGTGTCATTAACAGGCCACATAATCGGGGTTTGTGTGTACACGTTGCGCTATATTGGACGTCGGCACTCAAAGTGCCTCGATAGCCAGCTGATTTTCAAATCATGCCTTCAGCTGTGTGTTGTGACTTGTGTCGCTAAACAATTTCATTAATATAAGCCCCACTTATATACCGTCACCGTACATGTATACGCATAAAAGTAGCTTAAAACTATTATGCGGGGTATCACCGGAACGAAAATCTTGATCTTCTAACAATTTCACAGACAATTTAGAGTCAACCTTTCCTCAATTAAAATATTGAAATATTTTCTGTGTAGAGGTACAGTTAAATTAGAAAATTTGTAACTCTAAAAAGTAATGGGTAATTTTTCTCTGGAATATTTTAGATATAAAATTACATATAAAAGTTCATATTTATATTTCTTCTATTTGTTACGCGCTATATGTATTTAAAAGTTAATTTTAATTATTTTATTGTAATATAAATTAATTAATATGAATTTAAAATATATATACGAACTTCGTCTCTGATATGTAAGAAAAAATATTGTACTGTATTTATTCATAAAATAATAACGATTATTTATAAAGAGAAAAAAAAAAAGAAAACATTCAAGGATAAAAGTTTAAAAAACTGAAACATGTTCTGGAACTCTATATTAACTATAAACTCCGTATTTTTGATAAGTCCAGAGAATGTAAAGCATTTAAAATATTTAACGTTACGTTCGCGGTGGTTCGTGATTTAATCAGGTCGCGTGGCTTTCGTAATAATTTCGTTACAACATTTTCTCAAGCGCCACCGCACATTTTGTACATGGAGGGTGCGGGCATCTGGAGGAGCGCGCGGGACTTTTCTTGTTGTTTCGCGCGCGCGTAATGACTGAAAGTCAGTCGCGTATACATATATCATGCGACGTGCAGAAAATGCATGCAAGCCGCTGACAGTGCATTATTGCGGCTTAGAAATCCACGGTGGTGGCTCGCGCTACTCCAAGTGCATTAGTATAGCTGACCGGCTGCATAATGACTCTCGCATGCAAGAGAATCCTTGGCCCGTTATTAGGCGTATTACACGCTTTTTCTCGGCGCCGCGCGCCGCGCCAAGCGACGCCGTACTCCGGCACGTATTATACCGCTGCAGCGCGCGTACAGAATGCAGATGGGGGGATAAGGTATATAGGTACTCACCGTACCGCCACGCCGGGGAAGCGCCTCTGGGAGGATCCCGACGGACGGATCGACGACGGCACACGATCGCTCGCTGTCTCTCCTTCTCTCCGCAACGGCGATTAAATCCTGGAGAAACTTCCGATCGGCCACGACGGCAGTCGAGATGTCCCTCTCGACAGCGCGATCTCCTCGAAGTTGTGATCAGTTGTGATTGCTTGCGCGATCACTCGCCTCTCGCCGTCCTTCCCGCCCGCGTGGATTCCGGATCTCCGTCGACGCGACGCGACGCTCGTGCTCCAGGGATGATGCGCGCCGTCCGACACGATTGCACACACGCGAGGAATACGTCCACGGCACCTATACGAGGTCGACGTCGAGGACGAACGGATGAGAACTCGAGAATCCCGCGATCACTCCCGACGCGAGATCCGCACACCGATATCACCCTTGAACGCGCGGCAACGGTTAACCTCGTCACTTCGAATTGCATTCGCGTCCGATTCGGCGCTCACTTTGCGCCTCGCGTAAAACTCGCGTCGCACGCGGATCAACGACGACGCTCAACGAATCTCGGAGCGAGACCGACGAAAGAGAAGACGCACGCACGCACTTTTTTATGTTCATCCACGTTCACTTCATCCGATTACAGCTGGCAATCCCTGTGCAGTCCTGCAAAATTGACACACAATGATCAGCTGTAGATTCAAGAAATTCATGAATACCGCTGTTTTCGAGCTTTACGATAACACTGTAGAAGAGCAATCCAACAACGTCAACATGCGGATCAATTATCGCATACAGACGGCCGATGATTACTCTTCAGTGGCGGATACAAGGGGAGGGGAGCGGAGAGGACGATCGGCTCCCTCCCTCTCCAAATAAATTTCGTATATTGGAAAAAGTTGGTTTTAAATGAATTGAGAGAAAAACTTATCAGAGATTATTCGAGGCTAAATAAATGTTCGGTCAATTTTTTTTAATAATAAAAAATATTAAAAATAACATCAACAATAATAATTAAATATTCACATTTTGTTACACTGCTCGCCCCTCCCCCCCAAAAAAAACAACTCTGGATCCGTCACTGGATTACTTCCGCGAATAAAGATGAATTTATACTCACTTGCCGCGATACGCCGACCGTCGCCATTACTGCCGTATCCGAGTCCGACGACGGCGATCCTAATTGCTCCGAAAACTCGCGCGGAGCGTCCGATCGAGAAAACGCGGCTAATTAACGCGAGACACGATGATCGCCCCGTCAGATTCGCACTCCCGACATGCGTTTGCACTTTAGGGCCGGCGAATGAGCACGAAACGCGTCCCATTCGAGGCGTCCGTTTAGCGTTAACGTGCGCTTTTGTATACGACTGTAACGAGGTGGCCGCCGGCAATTTCACACCGACGCGGTGGACGGCGAGGCGAGGCGAGCCATGAAAATCGAGAGACACGGCTGATTATCATACGCCTCAATCAACTCGAGAATCCATTCGACCGAAATCGTGCGACACGATTTCAAACGCGAACGAATGCGTAAACGACCCGTCCAAAGATCACAGCGGACACGGAACTGCGGATGCCCGTTTGAGCGCTACTGGACACTTTGCACGAATGTGGCAAAGGTCAGAGCGTCCGACGACGCCAACGCGCCTCGCGAGGCGAGCACGTAAAATCGAGAGACACGGCCGACGTTATCAAACAGGCGTACCTCGAGAATCCGCTCGATGCTCTCGATCGCGCGATCGATAATGTTTATAAAAACGAGCGAATGACGCGAATAAGCGACGCGTCCACAAATCACAGCTCACAGCCGGGCGGACCCCCCCGCGATGCCCGTTGTGAGCGAGTGCGACATTTGGCAGGACTGCAGCGGCGAGATTCGGCGAGGGGATTCGCCGGCAACTTCATACCGACGCGCCTCGCGAGCACGAAAATCGACATGGCCGCGGTCATTGCTGCCCGCATACATCCGAGAATTCGCTCGATACTCCCGCGATCGCGCGAAACGTCTTAAGACGAGCGAGTAATGCGGAAAGCGACGCGTTCACGGATCACAGCCGGGTCCTCCCGTTGAGTGCGACATTTTGCACGACTTGTGGCTACACGAGAATTCGACGACGACGAGGAGATTCGACGGCAACTCGCACCGACGCGTCTCGCGAGGCGAACACAAAAATCGACACGGCCGATTATCACCATGTATAAGTACCACTTTTATCAATCCGAGAATCCGCTCGACACTCCCGACAGTCCCGATACTTATATCTCAGACGAGAGCGAACAATGCGGAGCGAGGCGTCTATATACGGAACAGCGGACGCAAGCGGACGCTGGCCCGCGAACGATCATACACGCCGATTTACGCGGAAATGCGACGGAATGCGGTAAGTACGAGTATCAAAAGAAAATTAAGCTACTCGTCGACACGCCACTACTCCGAACGTCCGCCGCCTAATTCAATGTCTTTTGTATACATCGTACGCTATCGCGTACTCGCGCTCCGCTTTCATAATGAAAAACACGCCCGAACGCGACGGAGCGATTCTCCGAACTGCGAGCCGAGCGTCGCGTAAGTCAAAACACAAGGGGTCGTGCGGGGGGGCGCGAGGGGACCAAAACAAAACCTATGCTCGCCCAGCGTTCACCACAGCGTTTTTTTTAGGTAAACAAGGTATACCTTTCGCATCTTAATATTTTTACACTTTTTGTCTTTAGAACATCTGTTGTGTGAGAATGGCAAATAAAATATGAGTATGTGTGTGTGGGTGTGTGTGTGTGTATGTGTGTGTGTAAAACAAGAAATACGATTATACAATTACGTATCGAGTACTTTTTTACATTTTCTAATAAATAATAATTTTTAACTTTCTTTTTAAATAGTTGACTTTAGATACTTATATCATGTATATTTTTAAATTTGATACCCTGAAAAAAGTGATTATTTATTATCGCATTTTTATGCGATCTTAATACTTAAATTCCAACAATCTTTGTTTTTGAATTAATGATATATTTGACTTGACTATTTATAGATAATTAGTCGTTAAAATTCAGGCATGAAAGAAGTACAAAAAGTGTAACTTAATACAATTATTGTGGATATCATAAAAAACGTTAGTATAAAAATAATAAATTTATGGGTATATAATATATTTAACACATAAATATAATATATTTCTCACAAGAATGTAATAAATTTCTTCTTATTCTTATAACATATTTGAATAAAAATGAGAAAAGTATGTATAATGAGTATAATTGAAGAAATTATTAAACTGTTTTGTTAAAAGTAATATTTAATTTAAAACATTTATCAAAACTAACAATTGTTAAAATTCTGTGGCACTTCTTACGCTATTAAATCAGAGGCACAAAGACGGCAGACACAAAACGGTCGCTGAAGTTGACAGTATTCATGGAACTGCGAAAGGGCTTGGGCGGCATTAACTGCTTTAAATTAGTTCGCGGCGGATTACTTGAGAGCCACTGAAATGTTATTAGTTTGCCGGCAGCATAATGAGATTGCATGCACAATCGCGTGCCGCTATTAGGTGCGTTGCGTACGATTTTCATCGCTTTAAGGACGTTACAAGGTTCACCCTACTCGGTGAACCGAATTTACAGGCCCGCGGAACTTCAGTAGACGGAACATTCCCCCCACAAATTTTCGATTAAATAGGCTATACGATTTCTGCTCCAATTATGTCACGCGGTATTATTGTTTTGACAGCGACGCTAATCAATAATGCAGCCGAAAATGTTAATTAGAGCAACGCGTGTGTGTTTTTATGATGATTAAAATATCAAATATTAAATTTAACTATTTCCATTCTATTCATTATTCTGACAGTTCTATAAATTTAATCAGTTTGCTTAAAAAGGGCTTACAGATATTTTGAAAATAATAACAATTTCTGTTTAGATCAAACAACAGAGCTGTTTATTCAGACTGTTTATTCAGTATTTAATATGGGAATAATTACCTGACGGAGTGTTTTTTACATTTCAGTGGCAACACACACAATCAAAATGAGGCTCATTGTCAGTCATAGTAGTTTTCTTTTCTGATCAGGAATTCATACCTATATTTTTCATCTCTCTTTTTTTTTTAGAAAATATAAATAAATCTCTGCATGTAAATAATGATATCAAATAAATTGTAACATAATCAATAATATCCAATATGTAATTAATAATAGTGATTTTTAATTGGAGGTGTAAGAAATCCAAGTGATCATTTACTTAAAAAAAAATTAGGCGACTACTCTATTCCCAAGTTAATAAATAATCCATAATGGGTTATTTATTAACTTGGGAATGGGCTGTCCATATATTACGTAAGTATATTTTGGGCCATTTTTTATCTTCCCCCATGTAAGCAAATGTCAGAATTTCTGAACACTCCCCCCTCCCCATTACATAAGATTTTCCCAATTATCGATGTAATGTTAATATTGCTCGTTTTTCATGACAGCAGCAGATAGAAAAATTACGTAAATATATACGACCCTTCCCCCTTCTCTCCCATGTAATTATTTGTCAGAATTTGACTGACCCCTTCCTCCAGTCATGCTTACGTAATATATGGACGACCCCATAATAATTTATTTCGTCATACCTGTTCGCTATTACGGAACAAAGAAAAGAATTTGAAGGAAGAGCAAATATACTGACGATTTTTTTCGAGGGGGGGGGGGCGTATTATGCAGACGTAATAGATTGCATGTCGCGCGACAGACGAGACAAAACGGTGACGCGAATCGGTCCTTTTTCAAGTTTTCGAAGCAAAAGCTCGAAGCGCAACGAACGTACGAGCGCGATAAGTTCGCTATTCTCGGCGCCGAGATAAAGCACAGGGAGCCTCGAACTGCCAAACTTCCGACCTCGGGGAACTTTAAACATCGTCATTCGGCCGAACCGAACTTCTAAAGCCGCCGCACCGGCCCGGATTCCGTTCGTCACGCGCGAATGCAGGCCGCGGTTAATACCGCGGAGTGGTAGCGCAAGCGGGTACAGCAAGCATCGCGTTACACAACAGGGTGTACACCTCTCCATCGACCGATCTCGAAACTAAGTAAGGCCGAAAGTTCGAGTCGAGAGTATAGTTATAGCCCTGCGGTGGGAAAAAGTAGCGCTTCGCTGCAAAACACTCTCGCGAAATTTCATCATCAGTAACGGGATACCGTGAAGATAAAAAAGGCCGTCAACGTAATCTTGTAAAAAATTTTACACGACGGACGAAACGAGGTCGGTAAAAATATATAGGGCGAGGTAGAGTATATTGTCCGAAATAACAGGAAGTAACGTTCGCAAGCGTCGGATTATTTCTGGATTTCTCGAATTCATATCGCACTTGCAAAAACGAAAAAGAAGGTAAAAAATCTTTGAGAAATTCAGAAAAAAAATTGCATAAAAACACAATTATACTTCAAATAAATTTAAATATTTTATTGCGTTAATAAGTTTTGCTATCGGAATACATAAATGAATAGTATAAATATATTATAAAGAAAAATACGTAAAATAAAGGCGCTAAGATTTATAACAATTTCGCGATTAATTAATTTTAATTTGTTCTTTAATTGAAAGTTTATATTAAAAGAATTAATAACCGATATTCAGTCCGTTCTTATATATTTTACGACCATCTCAGGTAATGTCTTAAGATGTCTAATATGGCTTTGTGATTGGTTTGACATTTTAAGATTGTACATAAATTAATAATAATAGAAATAATAATAGAATCTTAATAATAATAGAAATTTAATAAAAAAATAAGAACCGATTACGAATACCGGCTATATAACATGATCTTATCTTTTAATGCATGTTAATGAATTTTATCCCGAAACGGCTAAAAATAAATCGGAACAGGTGTAGCTCTCCTTTCCTCCCCGTCTATCTCGAAATTTCCTTATCTACCACCTGTGCCAATGCAGACGAGGAATCGGCATGGGTAGTGTTACGCTTTGTCTTATCAATTATTATCATTATCACTAACGCGCATTCTTTCGTTATCAGCACGTTATAGAACTCGCGCGCTCTCATACCAGATCGATGAGTGTACGCGTCGGCCGTCTATCGCGAGTCGACAGTGATTTTTAATATCGCGGTTCTTCACCTACGCTTGCCGAATATATTTTACACGCCAGGTACGATAAAAATTTTACATATTCACGTGACCTTGTCGCCGGGTGTCTGTCGCTTTGCGTCTTGTGATAAGAAGAGCGTAACATATATAGATGCATATTCAGCGTATAACGTCCCTTGATGTTCCGCGCCGGATGAGGCAGTGCTCTCAACTCGTCTTTCGCGTTTAATCTTCGCGAGATGAGTTTGATAATTAAGAAACGTCGTACGGTAACTTTGTCGGGAAAAGTTAAACTTTCGGTAATGATGCTGATTAAACCTACCAAATTGCTCCGAACGTGCTATCATCGCGTCATCGTTCGGATATTTGCATAATCCCTCCCTTCTCCAATCGTAATTACGTACGTGGTTACTCCCCGGGGGCTCGCAAATAGTATTTAATTAACTAGGACAACATCGATTTGCAACGCTATTTGCATCGAAGTTGCGTAGAATGTTCAAAAATGCAATTATCTTATACAAATAGAATTTCGTAAATCTTTTTATACATACATGTATAAAAATTAGGAAAGATCTGACTAATAGATTTTCACTTTTATTCGCGAAATGTTGACGTAATGGTATCTATTTGTGTCAGAATTTTCGAAATTGAGATACGTTGGTCGAAAGCTTTCTTAAATCATGCACATAACATGCGCTTGTATGTACATGAACAGAGAAATTCTCCGTACATATTGTAGATGCAAATTCAGTAAACGTTTAAGCCCCAGCTTGAAACTTAAAGATTAAATCCCTTTTGCATTTATGGAACTTCTCGTGACTGCCTCGTGATTTTCTCGCTTCGAGAGTATTTCTAAATTTACAAGTAGATAAACGTCAGTGTGAAAACTGTTATTACAGACTATTGCAGATACTAATTTAACTTAATTTCTTCCTCGATCTGTATTCCATCTTTGTAACGTTATCTGCCTCTTCAAATGCAGCATTAAGTCATTGCTGTACGTAAAGTCTTTATTAGATTAAGATTACGAAGCTACGGCTTCGTAATCTAGAACGAACAAAAACAATTTCCCTTAATGTATCAGAATGTATTTAACATTACAAAGAAATCAATATTCAGGAAAGTAATAGATTCTACTGAAAGAAAAAATATTAATATACATATACATATATGTATATTAGATATATTGAATCTTTAATACACAAAATTTGTCGAAGAGATTTTCTTTATATATATAAGTTATTTTTTCTTGTTATTTTTATATCTTTATTTTTTAAACAATTTTACACCTTC